CTACGTAGAACTTCGTACTTACGTACATCAGTTCGAGTTGCCACACCACATTAGCACAGAGATGCAGTTGTCGACTACAATTTTTTTAAGTATTACAGATGTTCTTTTCATCAGTGATCTGTTCATAGACCATCGAACAATATTATATTAATTCCGGAAGCGCGTTTCGTCTTATTTGGGACTCGTCAGATGGATGAACCTCCATCTCAGAGTTGATGCTTACTCCATCACTCGAACCCAGCACCTTTCGCTTTAAACATCATCACGTTGTCCACTAAGCTACTGGAGTCGTGATAGACACTTACTTGTGCAATGGTGTGAAGTTTTAATTCACTTGGTATTATTTACTTGAATCTTCTCATTGATGTTTAGCACTACTATATCGAGGCAATACACACAGTATGCACACATACCAATAAGAAACTGATCAATCGTAGTCCTAATCATCAATCGGTAGATTCAAGTAAATAATACCAAGTGAATTTGATCCTATGTTATGTTTGTTAGAGGCTTCAGTTTCTTTTTTTTAAGATGTCACATTAATAGGATGAATAAGTTGAATAAAAAAACTAATCTACTTAGTTTTTAACTAAGAAAAACATATATGTTTTTATCAAAGTAACTTTTGTGTTTTTCTTCATGATAAGTAGTTGTGGTGTGTGCTACTGATATCAACAGATATAAGTAGTATGTATCATTCCTCGAAAGTGACATGTCTAGCCATAGAATGTTAAGAAGATCGAAGAAAAGAGAATGATTAGTGTGGAAACGAAGGAAATGTCATTCACTTTATCAGATACCTTGATATTCATCGACTAATATGCGAACGGCTTCCCGTGAAATCAATTAAGATTCCAGAAGTGCTGAAAGAGCCCAAGACATTCTATTCAATTATCGTTTGCAAGAACATTTCATAATCTCAATGTATAACTTCCTTATTGGACAAATGCTTAAAAAATCACTACTCCATGCGGATTGGATTATGGTAATGATGATTTCGATTTTACTAGAAAAATTATAAATACCCGAGTGTTTTGTACTCTATTTGCCTGGTTGGAATAAAATTTCTTCCTACTGGTCTTCTGTTCTCTAATTTTCGACTCGGAGTGTTCAAATGTTTGAGTGATCAAGTTATACGCGGCACGAATGAGGACAATCAATTGTATTTAACAGTAAAATCTGAGAACCGTATAGTAAGAGCTAATTGGCAAATTATCAATCCATTGTCTCAGATTTCATTGTTCATGCATTTTCATATATCGATTGCATTCCGTTCCCGTTCTTTCCTTATCGATCTTCTATTCTATGCCTGCCACTGTTATATACTACTTATATGGATATAAGTAACCCACACCATAATATTACCAAGACAAAATAAAGATTATACTTAAATGCCAATATCATATCATGAACATTTCAAGAATTACTTCTTTCGTACTGAGTATTATACAGTATGACATATTTAACTTTTATTGAACTATAAATGAATCAAGGATTATCTACGATTGTCATTCCTTGAAATACTTCAAGAATATCAGACAATTATTATGAATATTTGAAACAAGTATTTTTGTTTTCATTTGAGTATTACCTACAAAGAAATGGATTCCAGTACCCTCCCTTATCATGTGAGAATATATTCAGGTGTTCATTTGTTTATCAACATATTTGCTTATATTTTATTTGTATAATAACTTATTCATTCATCAACTACAAAAATTTATCGTTACAGTCTTAAGTAAACAATGTGACTATTTTTCTCGTATTATATATATATGTATATCGACCGTTGTTGCTAACTTGACGTGGTGGTCGAAATCGCCCATTGTGATAAACCAATCGAGTTATACTGGCTGGGATAATCGCTCCTCAAGGTCCTACCATGTCAGACAGGTCGGTTGAAGAGCGGTAAGACTAAAAGCAACAAACTCATGGTCCGAAGGCGAAGTCATACTGCTCAATGTACAGAGGTGAGATGGCAGTAAGGTGTTTCCTTCAGACAACCAGCATAAGAGCGATGTTGCCTTCCCAAAAGGTGTGGGGTTAGAAAAGTTCGACCCTAAAAATGCCCACCTCTCCTTATCCCACGGATATCCGTCTCCGGCGGTAAGGCCTCAACAAATAGGGAGCTAACACGAAAATTACTCATAAAAAGGTCGTGTGTGACCGACCTCAAGCAGTTGTCCCTTGGACACTGCGATCATGCTCTCAGGTCACTAAGGCCACCTCTAATCAAATTCCCTTTTCAGGTACCTCCAGAAGAACTCTTCCACGTTGTGAGCAACCGGGAAGTGATAACCGCCCTCATCCCTCTAACAGCACTCGAGACCACCATATATATATACAACATTAAGAGGAGGAAAAGCGAATGTCCGGAGCTGAATCTAGGTTGGTGTATACAAAAGATCTACTTAGGTGAGTTGGAAAAATTCGATTCTGGACAAGTCGTGCACGTAGGGTTGAGGATCCTGAAAAAAAAATTGCATATGAACCTATTCTTAGTCATTGGGTACTACGAGAATACATCTCCTATTGTTACTCTACTGCCTTCTAGATTATATCTCTAGATCTAAGACTCTGAGAGTGGTCCCATATGAAGACCACATACTTCTGTTTGGAGATCCTAGTCCTTATACAAATTCTATGTCCCAAATATATAATCAGGTTGTCCATTTGTACCTATGTTTATATGTTCAAATTAACCAATATTACCTCTGATAGACTGAACAATCAATACTTAATTCAACTATCACTCATATTGCAAATATAGTTGACAGTTCATTTTCTGAAACTAACTAAAATGGTTACATAACATAATACAAATCAATTCTGGCAATTGTTTTCTCTATACACATTATGTAATACAAAATCATTAAAATTAAAATTTCACATTTCTACATTTTATCAATGAAGATAGATTAAGAACAGGTATTAAATCTCCAGTAGAGGGTTGTGAAGATTATAAAGATCATGAATTGATTGGTGTTAGATCATCAACAAAAACTTGAAAGCACTGGACGGCCGTTTTATCCTATTGTGGAACTCCTCAGCAGTACGCATCCACGACCTCGCTCGCGGGATTCGAACCCAAGGCCTTCAGTCTCGCAGTCTCGTTGAAATGGTTTAGGTTAGACATCAACACCGTTGGATGCCAACTCAGTGGTCTAGAGGTTGAGCCTTTGCGCGAGAGACTGATAAGTCCTAGGTTCGAATGTCGCGAAGTGGTATCGTGGATTCGCACTACTGAGGAGTCCTATAATAGGACGAAACGGTTTTCCAGTGCTTCCAGGTTTTCGATGATATTCTAAAATCAATATTAGGTGAACTACTTAAATATTATAAGTAGTTATTTCACATCCTTGATAATAAACTAAAATCAGGAAACAATTAAATTTTACAGAAACCATTTCTCTTTTTTTTCTCTTCTTTTGATTAAATGAGATTAACTCAGCTAATATAGTTTAACTCACATTCTTTTGAATGTAACTTACTGACTAAATTAGTCACATAGAAAACTGATACGCCTTATGAGAGTGTATTCAATTTTGATGTCGGAAGACAATTAACAATATTTATGTGGACGGTGAAGGATTGGGGGGGGGGCAGGTGGAAATAGATGGAATCTTTGATTGTTAAAACAAAATAAGATTTTGTTGAGTTTCAATGAAATATATTAGTTAACATAATTTTAGGATAATGGCGGAAAATAAAATCAAGATCATCATAAACCGGCCTGTTTGAATATCTGGGTTACGTGTTCCTACCATCTAGATATTTCAAAAAGTTATCGGTTTTCTTGTTTGTTTGTCTTAACGCATCACTATTAGTCTATTAGTCTCATAATCTATTCAGGTGTGTTTGTGAAAAGTTTACGACAATTCATTGTACAAGTTACAATAGAGCCCAATCAGAGATATCGTAGTTGCTGTCAATATGCATCAAAAAGAATGTACATTATTTAAATGTGAATTCCTGAACTGCTAACATCTAACTGGCAGCCACTCAATATTTATCGTAAGGATCAATCACGAAATAAGACAAAAGGAAACTTGTTGAAATACTTTATGTTGAGAATTCTATATTGTACCAAGAATATAATATTGAATAAAGGCACTAATAATAATAATAATAATAATAATAATAATAATAATAATAATAATAATAATACTTTTACCATAATGGCGGAAAATGAAATAAAGAACACAATCATAAGTATTAGTATGTTTTGTTAAAACTAGATTCGGAAGTTTTGGTCTTTAGCTAAAATAACATTGATTTGATGGATGCGCACTGCTGAGGAGTCCTATACTAGGATGAAATAGCCATCCAGTGCTTCCAGGCTTTCCATGATGGTCTTATGAATTCAATTATTAAATTACTACAATCTCCAGTAAACCCCTTTCTGATAATAAAAATTACTTGACAAGAAAACTGTAAGTGTGAAAGGTCAAGAGTCTTAAGCTTAAAAATAGTAATTCTTCATTGATTTTAACAAGGCATAAAAACCTAAAAATTTCAGATAGGAATTTCTTAGCTTATGATTAAATGCTTATGTATATAATTGATCGTAGTTCAGTAGTTTTGAAGAAATTTTGTTGCCCTGGCTTACTGACCCTTGTAGACTCAGTTACCAGTACGGTCGGTAATATATACGACAACAGAAGCTCCACACTTCCTGGATTCAGTAGTTGTACAATTGATGTCAAACAACTAATACAAACCAACTATATGCATCTATCAAACACATGAATCGATTTAGGTTCAATAATCAATGAGGAGCTGAAAGCACTAAACGAGCACTTTTTTCCCCAATTTGGGACTCCTTAAGAGTGTGTATACACTAACCCGCAACCGCAAATCAAATCCTGAACCTCCCACGTAAACACTTAACCTCTAGATCACTGAGTAAGGAACCGATGTCTATTTAAAAAGAACTACTTATTTCGTGAAAAAACAAGATATTGTATTAAAAATACATAATTATGATTGTTAGAAGTTACCTTAGATAATTTATTTCTTCTATTTGTTTCCCTCTTTTTGTCTTGATTAGTTGTTTTCATTTCATAATCTGTATTCTCATTTGGTTTGTTTCTATCGGATTTTAAAAACGTCGTACCATATTCCTCTTCATTAGAATCCATTGGTATTTTTCGTCAGATAATAATGATACTACTAAAAAATAAATGAGAAATGACATTATCATAACCATTTCGGCATCAAACATCATCTAATGTGAAAATCATTTAAGTCAATCAGTCAGTCAGTGAGTCAGCTACAACGTAGGACCTGGCACACAAATACATCGGTCCAAGTTGCCATTACCTCATTAACACAACAAGATCAACACCAAATTCATACTACTACTACTACTACTACTACTACTACTACTCACTCCTGTTACTCCTCGTGGAGGAGCATAGGCCGCCCACCAGCACTCACCATCCACCAAATCCAGAGAGGTAATTAATTTAGTGGTATTAATATATAAAAGAAAGATTGGATATGAAGATATAGTACAGGAAGAAAGAATTAGTTCGTAGAATGGAAGACATGAAGCAATTTTAATCTCATAGTTTAAGGGAATACAGAGCGTGGATACACCGACACCATTGTGATCGATTCTGAGCCATGTCATCCAGAGTCTTCAATCACTGGTTATGACAGTCACGCGGACTCCAACCAAATAGTCTCTATCTACCAACATGGCTAAGACTCGACGTTAGTGACTTCAAGAACTGATGACACGTTTCGGTTTGGCCTTTCTCTAATTTTCTTCCAACCGTTTCCAACACTAATCAGCATTGTGTGTCGTGGTAATCAGTGTTCACGTTCACGTAACACGTGATCCAGCCATCTCAGTCGATGAAGATTCACAGCCTCATCAAGTGATTTATAAATAACAAAAATGAATATTCATTCTTTGCTTGTTGTTTTTGAATCCTTACTTGTGTATACTTGTGGATTGACATAAATGACACAGCTATTCATTAGCCAACATACAACATTGGTTAATTACTTATTTACTGGGTAGGTAGTTTTGTCATTTGTAATCGATTCATTAGTGATTTAAGCATTTGTTGTCTAGACGAAGAACTTATTCGTCACAGTAGTTAAATCATTTAGTTTATGACCCATCAGAAGAAAACCAACATATTCTTTCAATTGATGTATATATTTATACAGGGATCTGTGTCGACTATAGACTTTTCACAATCTGAACCACAAAATGATCTTAGCTACCACCATAAATATGTAATTTAAAATGGTTAAAATTAAAATTCTACATCAATAAACGTCAAGTATTCTTGCATGAGACCAAAGATCCTAGCTTTGATTTCAGGATGGGGGACCATGTTTTCGATTGCTGAAATGGCCACCTAGTACTTCCAGGTTTTCAAATGATGGTAATTCGAATTGAGCATTGGGTAGATTGTTATAAATAATATAAAATAACATATTTGCATATATTCCAATGAGTAGAAAAAATAGATTTTCTCATGTTTCGTGACTCGGTAAAAGTCACTTCTTCAGAGAATAAATAGACAAGTTAAATTAACCCAAGTTTAAATAGTACAAAGGAACAAAGTAAGAGTACTTGTTGCGATCAATAAAAAGATATATATATATATATGAACAAGTCAGTGTCATGTCATTCCAGTCAAGGTGATTCATTTATACATTCACAATTGCATAAGTGTAATTTTCAAAACAAAAAAATTACTATCAGAAGAGGTTTTGTCGATATTATAGTAACTTATAATAGTTGAAGTCATGAGTCAATTGAAGCGAGATCACTATTGTGGGACTCCTAAGCAGTGCGCATCTATGATCCCGCCCAGCAATATTCGAACCCGAAACCTATCAGTCTCGCATGCGAACGCTTAACCACTAGACCACAGCCCTGGATTTTAACAGTTTTAATGTCTAACTTCAATTAATCCACAAAATTGAACAACATATCCAACATTATCTTTGGTGAGTTAATAATCTCACAATAGACACCACTGAACTCCACTGATCACTGCTTCTCACAAGAATTCATCACTAACTATTCATTTTCATGATGAAGTTGAATGCACTAAATTGCATTACATTTTATATCTCCATACAGTGAAAGAAAAAAAGAGTCTTAAGCAATTTCGTTGTTATTACTAGACTTAGAAAGGAACAGAAAAAAGTATCGTTATCTTGTTTGAAAGAAGGGAAAAAACCACTGAAACGATAATGTTAAATGTTTCATTTACTTTCTTTTCTTTTTTTTCATTATACAATGTTCATGTTCATTTAGTTGCTCTTTCTCTTCTCTCTCTCTCTCTCTCTCTCTCTCTCTCTCTCTCTCTTATTACATTTATTGTTATGTTAATGATACAAGTTACGTAACAAAAATATTTTGAAGAGAAAACTATTCATGTGAACTGTACAAGTAGTAAACGGGGTGGAGCATTAGGTATTGTATGTGTGTGTGTGAGAGGGGGAGAATAAGAGAGAGAGAGAGGGAGGGAGGGAGGTAGAAATGAAAGTCATTTTGTTCACTAATCAGTTTTTTCTTTCATTGAAAATAATTGAATAAATTTCAACTTAACAATAATTCGAAAACATTACTTAGAATAGATGGATTGTTGTTAACAGACAAATCTAAGATGTAGGTTTTGTCTGATCTTGTTTTATTTGTTAGCTAGATATATCTTCATTTCAGTGTTGATATTCATGTAAAGAATCGAATTCAATACTTTTTTTTGCTTCAAACACCGCTTGGATTATCCACTGAGTTATTGAATACCAATAGCTAATAACTTCTTCAGTGGATATGATTTTCATGTAATCGACATTATTATGTAGGTACCACCCCACAGATAGAACAAAATGTAAGACCTTGACTCCATAGTTAATTACAATTCATCTATTCTAAATAACTAGTGGCGTAACCACTACACTGAGTCAGTCAACACAGGGTGTACCTAAATCAAAAAAAGCCAATCAAGGTTCTATCAATAACAGTAACAACAGGATACCTCAAACACTAATTATCAATATAGGGTTGTAAAGATTATTAAGTTTTTGATTGAGATAATGAACCAATTAAAGTTAGACCACCGTTGAAAACCTGAAAGCACTGGACGGCTGTTTTATCCTAGTATGGGGCTCCTCAACAGTGTGAATCCACGATCCCGCCTCGCGAGATCCGAACCCAGGACCTATCAGTCTCGCGCACGAACGCCCAACCACTAGACCACTGAGCCTGCTGGGATCCCACGGTGTTAATGTCTAACCTCAACCAATTCATGAAAATGCATGACCATTCTCCATTTTACTGAGGTAGATTCCTGTCTCTCCCTGACATGGATTAGCTTTACTGGTCATGGCTTCTCACTAGAATTCCGAGAATTCCCTCACGAAGCTAGTCACTAGCGAAATGTGGAACATTGTGTCTTGTGATTCCTTCATTCAGAAATGATGATTGATAGTGTTGATTATTAGTACTTCTCGTCAAACTATAAATTTCAAACAGCATGTCTAATGAATAAATAGATAACTTATTTCCATTGCAAGCTGTGAAATGAATCTAAACAAGCAATATTGTCTTTGAAATAGTGCAAAACTTAATAAACCAGGAGTATTACATGGGTTAAATTATCCTTTTCTAGAAGTTAAATGGAGTAATATTTATATCAATTCTACAACTTAACAGTTCGTCATTGAAAAGCAATTTCTTAATTGTTTAGTCGTACATTTGTAGTAATCAAAAACTGGATTACATTCCGTTGGTTTTAGACAAATTCAAAGACTTAATCTTAATATCACATTGAAACTAACTGACGAATGCTTGGATATATTCCACAAAAATTTCTGTCTATAAATGGTTTTATATATTTCATATATTTGTGGTCTAGTTAGTTAAGGGCCTGGCGCAGGACTGATAGGTCCTGGGTTTGGATCTCGCGGGGTGCAAACCGTGGATGCGCACTGCTGAAAAATCCCATACTAGAACGAAACGGCCGTCTAGTGCTTCCAGGTTTTCCATGGTGGTCTAGCTTCAATTGACTCATGATTTCAATCAGTGATATTTCCTAACAGTCAAGTCAATATCAATTCAAGTAAACCTAATCTCATCTAAAAAAATGAATGTTTCTATAAGACAACTAAAATCTCAATTATGAATGTTTGAACAGCATATTAACTAATTTCAGTGATTGAGATCATAAGTTAATTGAAGCTAGACCACCATAGAAAACCACCTAGTGATTAATCAGTTGTAAATATTGTAGTGTTTATACAAAATCAATTAATTGATAAGTAGATAATACTGATTGATTCAAATCGAACACCATAAGATCAATATTTAAATTGATCTACACATTAAAGCATCACTTAGTGATACAATCACAACAGTTACCAGTGAAATGTTTCAATGAAAGGGGACATATTACTAATCACAAAAAATAAAGAATTATAAAAGACCTTATCATACAACAACAAATAATAGGTTGTGGCAATTTTTAAATTTCATTGAAATCATGAACCGATTAAAGTTAAACCACTATTCAGAACCTGGAAGCACTGGATGACCGTTTAATCCCATTCTTGGGAACTCCTCAGAGGTAGTAGTGGTCTAACTTGGGATTGGTTCATGATTTCAATAAAAAAGCTAGTAGCTGAATGCTAGCTTAAGCAGAAACATTGAATTCTTACACTATGTTTTAAAGGAAACGTGATAATGATGATAAGCTTTAAAACTTTTGATTATGGTTCTCGATTGAGTCTGTGTGTACAGACTTCTGAGAATTCTCTTATCAAAACATTACAGTTCTTCACTATTCTCTGTTGTTTGTTAATAATTTAGTAGATAATGATCTGTGATAGAAATCAATTACAATCTAACATAATTGTTTTTAATCAGTTTAGTGGTTGTGGAAATTAAGCTTTTGATTGAAATCATGAACCGACTGATGTTAGAACACCATTGAAAACCTGGAAGCACAACAAGATTTGTTTATATAAATATTGGTAATCAAAAAGCATTGGACAAATGTATTATCGTTGTATGAAACTTTTCAACAGAACATGCATTCACAATCCTGACAGACATCGAACCTAAAAATTTCAAAATTCTTCTTGCATTATTCATCAGTTTACTAATCGGACAAAACGATTATCAAAAGTTTTCTGGTTTCCAACGGTCCTTGATATAAAACTATAAAATCAATAATCCCCTCAAATACTTAATTCAATTAGATAACATTTTTAAAAAAATATATCAGTCATTCAGCTACAACTTAGGACCAGGCACATATATACATCGGTACATATTGCCACATTTCATTAAAACAACATGATCAACACCAAATTCATAGAAGTAGTTCATTCAAAGGTGACAACACATAAAAGAAATGATTATAATCTCATAGTATAAGGGAAGACAGAGAGTGCATACACCGACACCATTCTGATCGATTCTCAAACATGTCACACGCAGTCTACAACCATTGGTTACAAGAGTCAGACGTAATCCAATCAAGTAGTCTGCATTGACTGACATAGCTCAGATCAGAAGTTAGGAACTTCAAACACTGATGACACGTTTTGGCTGGTTTGGCCGTTCCTAACTTTCATCCAACCGCCTCCAACACTAATCAGCATTATGCGTCGTGGTAATCAGTGTTCAGGCATAAGTAACACGTGATCCAACCATCTGATTTGATGAAGAATCACAACCTCATCAACTGATTTACCATCATTTCCTAATACCCTACGTCTAACCTCACTATTACTTTCCAGGTGATCCCAGCAGATCCTGGCATTATTTCTAAGCCATCTTTAGTCAAATATCAGTAGCTTACAATTGTCTTCCACGAAGAATAAATGTCACTTTCTATTACACATTAAGTGATGCAAATTAACTGTATAATTTCATTATATAATGAAGGCATTTATAATAAGCATAAAGTACAAGAATGAAAATGATGTTTGGACAACCGTTTCTTCATGTAGAAAACTGATTTTGTTAAACATTTGATTTTGAGCATCTAGTATGCCAGTTCATGGTTTAGTGAAGTTAGATTTCGGCCATTAATAGGACCTTGAACGCTAGTTTTGCCGTATTTACAACTGATCAACTAAATAGATCTGTATAGTGATACCTAACTCTTTGAACAACACTATGTGGTTTTCTAACTTAGGTGAGTTTGTATAACTACTAACTTTTTTTAACAAAAATAAAGTTATCACAAGGGGGGTTTGTGCAGATTTTAGTAAGTTTTCAGTTGAATTTATGAGTCAATTGAAGCTACACCACCATGGAAAACATGGAAGCATCAACACGAGATAGTATTAGTAGGATAGTAACTCACTGAAGACAACGGTGGACGGTGGTGCGATTTCGTGGATTAGTTGAAGTTAGGCATTAACACCGTTAGACGCCGGTTGAGTTGTGTAGAGGTTATGCGTTAACGCACGAGACTGATAGGTCTTGAATTCGAATATCGCTGGGCGTGATCATGGATGCGCATTGCTGAGGAGTTCTACAATAGGACGAAACGGTTGCCAATTAGTGCTTCCAGGTTTTCCATGATAGTCTAGTTTCAATTGCCTCGTGATCTCAACTATTAAACATTACTATAATTATCCACAAGATACCCCTTTTCGATATTAATACAATTTAACTAGTTAAAATAAATGTTACCTTTTTTGTTCTTCTACTAATTCCAATAAATTTTTTTTGTTGTTTCAATGTGAAGAAATTTTGTAACTATTCAGAAAGATTTCAGTATTTTGTTTGTTATTTATGACTTTTATAAATGTAATAAATATGTTATTGTAATTCAATGAAATGTAACTGGTGAAAAACAAGCCAATTTGATAGTGAGATAGACACCTATCAATGATAAAGAATGAAAGTTGTATTATGTCATAAATTAACTTAAATTAACAATGTGAACTATTGAACTCCAGAGCAGTATTCTATTCTTCTTATTCAAATTGTTTGGTTACTATGATTAGGTTAAAAATATTTCAATGGTTGAGATCATGAGTCAATTAAAGCTAGACCACTGTGGAAAACCTGGAAGCGCTGAATGGCCGTTTCGTCTAACATTAACTGACTTATGATCTCAACTATGGAAGAAAGAGGTTTTTGTACATCTAAGCTAATCTAACTATTATCATTATCCATAATGTTTTATAATAGATACATTTTCACATATTCCACTGACATACCATCTTCTACTAATAGTTTTGATGAACGATATTGATGTATTCAATCTATCTCAGTCAGTCAGTCAGTAACAACGTAGAACTTTGTACGTACGCACATTAGTTCGAGTTGCCACACCACATTAGCACAGAGATGCAGTTGTCAATTCAAATCCCGTAGTGCTAAAGGTAGTAAAATTATAAGCAGTAATCGGAAAGATTAGGGTTTGACGATGTTATTCAAGGAGTATAATCCAGTGAAATAAATTTAGAAAGAGGAAAAAAGAAGGGGACATGAAGAATTCAGAAGATTAGAATTTGGGAGAACACAAAGAGTGGATGCACCTGCACCATTGCAAACGACTTTGAACCATGTCACTCAAGGTCTCTAACCATCGGTTGCTATCATCTCGCGGATCCCAACCCGGTAATCTACACCTACCAACATGGTTCAGTCCACTTGCCAGTGACTTCATGGATCTGTGCCATGTTTTGATCTGGCCACCCCTAGCTTTCTTCCAACCTACTCCTACACCATAAAACATCGCACATCGAGGCAGTCGGTGGTTGGGTATAAGTAGCACGTGTCTCAGCCATCACAACTGATGAAGTTTCACCACTTCATCAATTGATTTGCCATTCTTACCTAGTACCCGTTTCCTAACAACTATATTACTTACTCAGTAGTCCCAGGATATACGAGCAATGCTTCGAAGACACCTATGATCGAATAGTAGTAACCCAGTAATATCCTCTACTCTTACCGGCCATGTTTCACGGCCAATAAAATAGGACGGAACGAACTGCTGCTTCACATTTATGTTGAATTTTCTTTAAGATTATTATTCTTCATGTTTTTCATCGTGTTTATTATCAGTATTACATATCATAAGAGTATAAATTACACAAATAATCGATATACTTTTAGAGAAAAATGGCAAGACTGTAATTTATGAATAAACCAATCAGATTTAAGAGAACAGTTCTTACATTTTGGCGCGAAATTCACTCAAACATTTGGCATTTTAACTGATGTCAGTTCGTGATAAAAAACTGTAAATCTAATTTCTAATCTTAACCATCAACTATAAATCATCAAACTTGTTCTTCAAACTGTTTTATAACCCTCATTTAGCTCTAGTAAGTAGGTAAGTAAGTAAGTAAGTAAGTAGATCCTCTCAAAGTGATTTCGGTGTCACTTAAATGTTGTCCATAAATTATAGTCTAATCAGAAAAACTAAGGACAAATTTTTGGAAGGAAAAAATCAGTATAATAAATAGTAGTCAATAAAACGTCATTGTTTCTAAGTAAGATTTACAAAAAAATTTGGACAATCTATTTCCAAAATGGTTAAAATTGATGACATTCAAAGATATACATAATTCACTAAAGTAAATATTCACGAGTTAGTCTAATTTAGATCACAACTAAAAACCTGTAAAATAGTGGACGATCATTTTGTCTTAGTATAGAACACTTCAACAGTGTGTATCCATGATCCTATATGTAGGATTTCAAGCCAGAACCTTTGATTTCGTTCACGAATGCTTAACTTGTATACCACTGAAACATCATCCAAAGGTGTTAATATCTAAATTCAATCAATCCATTGTCTTACGCAACGCTTATATCCATTGTTTGAATAAATTCTAGAAAACCAGAGAACATGAAATATGGTTAACTATCTAGTGTGTTGTAAATTTGAGCAGCTTTTTTTCAATTTATATCAACTCCTATAAAATGTAATAGCTGAATTTATGAATCAATCAAAACTAGACCACTATGAAAAAACTGGAATCACGGAACGGCCGTTTCGTCCTATTGTGAGACTCTTCAGCAGTGCATATAATTGAGTTAATTCAATCGTTATCGATTGGAAAATCACTAAAAAAAACCACAAGATTTTAATCAACTGTTTCAATCTTATTACTTTTAGGGTTACAATGATTGTATTAATGGTATGTCTTTACCTAATCAATCATTGAAAACAGGAAACAATGTGTAGATATTTTATCTTTGTTTAAGATAATTTAGTAAAGATTAAAGCTAAATTTAACAATGTAAAGAATGTTCTTTATGTTACTATTAAATAGACCTAATTAAGTAGTATATTTAATAAGTGACTTGAATTGTTTATGATTCATATTAAAGTAACAGTTTTATTATTCAGGGGGGGGGATATTGCAACATAATTCAAAACATTTTTTTTATTTTGTTTGTATCTTCCTTTTTATCGGATTATGTGATCCGATATTTATGCTTGTTATTTTTCGCTGCTTGATAGGTTGGATCAATTTGGATATGTTTATTGATTATTGATTGATTTTAGGGCCAAGATCCTAAAATTCCACTATCTAGGATTTTAACATTTTTTCTATTTATACGTGACTTCGCAGATGATCTAGCCCCCCTATCTCAAACGCAACAACAAATGCAGGAGAAGACGACCAGTGTAGCAGCAGTCTCAGAAGCAGTAGGTCTCAATATACACAAAGGGAAATGCAAGATTGTCCGATACAACACAGCATGCAACAATCCAATCACAATTGACGGAAAAACTTTGGAAGATGTAAAAACCTTTACATATTTGGACAACATCACTGATGATGTAAATGTGAAGGCGCGGATTAGCAAAACAAGAGCAGCATATTTACAACTGAAGAATATATGGAACTCAAAACAACTGTGTGTCAACAAACACCAAAGTCAGAATTTTTAAAACAAATGTCAAGACAGTTCTACTGTATGGGGCAGAAACCTGGAGAACTACGAAAACTATCATCCAGAAAATACAGGTGTTTATTAACAGTTGTCTACGCAAAATACTTAGGGTCCGTTGGCCGGACACTATTAGCAACAATCTACTGTGGGAGAGAACAAATGAGATTCCAGCGGAGGAAGAAATCAGGAAGAAGCGCTGGAAGTGGATAGGACACACATTGAGGAAA